TATATAAGATTGACTCATTCTGACTTGGATAACTATCTTATTCAAGTACTTCATCCAATGGGTATTCCCGATAAGTGGCTACGAAGAAGAGGCTTGCGTAGACGAGGAAGGGTGATTTTATTAATATATTAGATTTAATGTTTGTTTCTTGTTTATCATTTGGTATGATTTTAAAGGTATGTATACAATTGTAATTGGATCTTCAAGGTTTAAAAAACGTAAGATAGTATGGCTTGATACTATCTAAAATACTTATAATTTATACTAATATCGTAATAATTTATATCATAAACTTTGTAGTTATTATTTCAAAGAATAAAAAATTTTTAAAGGACTTTTTTCTGATCTTTTGTTTCTTTTTTTTCATAAGGAATTCGAAGACAATGAATTTTTAGATGAGCACAAAATCTATTGATCACAAGGAAAGCCCAATGAAAATAGGCAATTGAGGCAAAGATGAAATATGCCCATAAATATAAATATTCTGTAGTTTCTGATAGAATCTCTTTACTGTTATTTGCACACGCCGGAGTAAATTAAAAAAAAAACCGAATTAATAATAATAACATAACAACAACAACAATAATAATGGTAGCAAATAATAATCTCATCCAATAATATGAAAGAAATACTTACGTTCCAAAGAAACGTGGACAATTGGTAAGGATGGCACCTAAAAATAAAGGTATCAGAAGAACGGTGTACATGGGAAATGGAATTTTAGTTAAATGTGACAAAATGATTTTTGTTGCAATACGTCCAAACACAACTCCGGCTGTCATAGTGAAAAGAATGAAATGTTGGTTTTTCAAAATGTATGAATTTGGTGATGAAAGCCATAAATATCCACAGAATGAATACAACGCCATTGCAAATAATTGAGGAAGTGTTGCCAAAAATGATTTATCTTTAGCTTTACATTCTGAATAGACATTATACAAGCTACAAATAACAATAATTGATTGTTATGTATATCATTAGTATCATTTTAGTGTAATTCCACAAGTCCATATTATATTCTACAAATCTTACCAATTTAACCTTCTCGTATTTACAGTTATATAAATAAATTGACGGAAATCAAAAAGTTCAGTTTATTTCACACCTTTGTTTCTTGATTGAGATTCTATCCACTTTTTTAATTCATCCAACTCGAAGACAATTGTTTCACTTTCACTCTCGTCATTCTCGTTTTCACTACTATAGGTAGGTTCAGGGAAGTGGTTGGAGGAGTCATTTAAGGATCTGGTGGATCTTCTTTTCGCCTAATCAAAAATCACAAAAAAACATTAATGATTAAGTTTTAAAGGTAACTGGAATACACTGGTATTGCTCACCCTCTCTGATTTCTCTCCGTAATCTGAATCTATATTTGATTCTGATGAGCTTTCAGCATAGTTTACTCAGTTTCTTTCCCTAAGAACTCAGGTGCATGAGATCATGGCTGTGAACCATTATCCGATCAATTAAAATGTTACGAAATCATTGGTGAACATGTACCTATGCAACTACGTGTTTATTTTTACAGCATACATCTTTCTTTTTTTAATGCTACGTGGACATGTTTATTGTCATGTCATCCATTTCATACACATACCATATGAAGAGGCAGTCGGCATACCACATTCATCACATGGGATACGTGGTCGCATTTTCCAGTGAATATGACAACCCTCTGGTCGATAACAGCCTTTTCCACAAATGCGATCATCAATGTAAGTATGCGGGCAAGAATAAAATCCCATCTCTAGTAACAATAATCAATATATTTTCAATTTTCATATGTAAATTAATTATGTTTTGAATTAAACTTTTTGTATCATTATTAATACAAACTGATAAAGTGACATTATTTACTCTTTTAGATTAAACAACCCATGATCGAGAAAATACAAAATGACAGGATATAGCAAGGCAAAAAGTCTTCTTTCTGGTTTAACAGATCTTGATTATGAATTTGGTCATAGAGAACATACGTATTTTGAATATTTGCTTCCATATAATGGACAGAGTGCACTTACTTCGGAAGATAATGCAAAGAATATAGCACTCTTGGAGGCATATCATCCAGAAGAGATTAATTCTCAATATATAATTGGGGTAGCAGGAAAAGGCTTTACGGTAAGTAATAGATCATCCTTCTGAAATTTATGGAATACATATGAATGTATTGATGGGAACTGGCCCCTTCGTACTATATTGGATATTGATGTGAGGCAAAAACCTGTTTCACGAATCCGGAACTTCCTTCTTTAGGTGATAGTGATGAAAAAATTCCTCGTGAAGATTTGATGTCTAGAATATTAATTGCCTGTGCAGATACATTGTATCTTATACTGGGTGTATGCCTTCATTAAATAATTTTGCTTTAGCTAGTTCATCAAATATTGATAAATGTAGCTGGCATATCATTTATCCTTATGCTCAACTCGTAGATTATAGAGATCTCAGAAGCTTTATGGGAAAAGTCATTGGAAACCTTACTAGTTGTGTGACATATCCCTGAGGTTGTTTTTCTATATGGGACATCATCAGAGAGAAAATCAATCAAAATTTTTTTTTGTCATTTTTGAGAAAATAATGCAGTTACAGTACATGTAATTTGAGTCAAGGGATCTTTTCAGCTTAGAATATACCCATATTTGATTAATGAAACATTTCCATTTCTTTAAAAAAAGCCATTTCCGTAAAGATCCAAAAAATCAGATACTTATTATATAGTGCAGGACACCTAGTCCCTAAAACTTTTATTAGTCTTGCAAATCCTTTAACTCCTCCAAAAATGGAAATATGTGACCAAAAAAACAAGATGTCATTTTGAAGCTAAGACCTTTTTCTACAAAATGACATTTTCATTTTGTTGATATGTCATGTTGTTGTGGAGGAATTAAGCCTTAAAGTTGCACAAGTTTAACAAATTTACTATGTTAATCCCCCAAAGTGACGTGTTACAAATTTTTATATTAAAAATGAACGAATTGGAAGAATTGAAAATTTTGAAATCTGTATTGCAGCTTTTTTATCACGTGATACTAATAAACGTGCCAAATCTATTTTAAAACACGTGACTGTAAAAATTTTATTTGCATTTTTGATTGGGAATTTTTTCCCAAATCTGCCGCTGTGGCGCAGAAAGTTGTAGGGATTAGGTGTCCTGCACCATAGTAATAGGAAACGCAAAATGAACAATCTTATTAATCTCAAATGTCGTTTTCCAGACGGAAATGGTTTTAAAATTGAAATATGTAAGGAAGATAATATTACTACGCTTAAGTATGCAATCAAGGACACCAAGAACTTTCTACTAATTTCAATCTCTACGTACTTATTCCTACGGATTCGACAGCCGAAGTTTCTGATTATTTCAATGTGGTTTTTAATCCAAATCAAGTTCACCTTCTCGTAAAACCAATGGAATAGTTTTTTTTATTTGTGATATATTTTTTACGTCCTTTTGGGGCTATATTTTTTATTTATTTGTATATTGTCGTCGTCTCAGCAACATTTCTATTTCGTAAAATAAAGCAAGGTTCTAACCATTTGTCTTATCAAAATTATGTTCGTCCCTTTTTTTATCTGAGATTAATTCAAAAAAATTGAAGTCATCCATTCATATAGATATGTCAAATATGTCTCGCAAATCTAGAAACAATAGGCGAAAAACTCAAGGTAAGTTCACTACGAATCCTACGCAGTATATGCAAAAGATTTTATAACTATTATAAATAAGAACACGCAAGATATGAAGACGATATTTGATTATAAAGAGGTGTGTGGATATCTAGAGGTAAATAACCTCGATCCGAATATTCTCAATATATGTGGGAATTAATAGAACTAAACAACCCTATTTGTTATTATGTATTTAGCTTAAAAAAATCTTTCAGGGTGATTTCAGTTCCAGGTTAAATATAATCATAATCAGGTTATTTTCAAGTGAAGTTAATTTAGCCCCCTGAGCTGCACCTAAATAGGATGTCTGCCCAATACGATCTGAAGCACTCAACTTTCAAACCCACCGAATTATGACCAAGCTAAGACTTTATCTATAAAAATATATAAGATTGACTCATTCTGACTTGGATAACTATCTTATTCAAGTACTTCATCCAATGGGTATTCCCGATAAGTGGCTACGAAGAAGAGGCTTGCGTAGACAAGGAAGGTTGATTTTATTAATATATTAGATTTAATGTTTGTTTCTTGTTTATCATTTGGTATGATTTTAAAGGTATGTATACAATTGTAATTGGATCTTCAAGGTTTAAAAAACGTAAGATAGTATGGCTTGATACTATCTAAAATACTTATAAATTATATATATTTTATTATTATTTATACTAATATCGTAATAATTTATATCATAAACTTTGTAGTTATTATTTCAAAGAATAAAAAATTTTTAAAGGACTTTTTTCTGATCTTTTGTTTCTTTTTTTTCATAAGGAATTCGAAGACAATGAATTTTTAGATGAGCACAAAATCTATTGATCACAAGGAAAGCCCAATGAAAATAGGCAATTGAGGCAAAGATGAAATATGCCCATAAATATAAATATTCTGTAGTTTCTGATAGAATCTCTTTACTGTTATTTGCACACGCCGGAGTAAATTAAAAAAAAAACCGAATTAATAATAATAACATAACAACAACAACAATAATAATGGTAGCAAATAATAATCTCATCCAATAATATGAAAGAAATACTTACGTTCCAAAGAAACGTGGACAATTGGTAAGGATGGCACCTAAAAATAAAGGTATCAGAAGAACGGTGTACATGGGAAATGGAATTTTAGTTAAATGTGACAAAATGATTTTTGTTGCAATACGTCCAAACACAACTCCGGCTGTCATAGTGAAAAGAATGAAATGTTGGTTTTTCAAAATGTATGAATTTGGTGATGAAAGCCATAAATATCCACAGAATGAATACAACGCCATTGCAAATAATTGAGGAAGTGTTGCCAAAAATGATTTATCTTTAGCTTTACATTCTGAATAGACATTATACAAGCTACAAATAACAATAATTGATTGTTATGTATATCATTAGTATCATTTTAGTGTAATTCCACAAGTCCATATTATATTCTACAAATCTTACCATCCAGGAACATGAATAACAAATGATGAAATTAGCATTGCAACAAGCATTACATGTATTAACGTAGTATTAGCCGGTATGAATGATGGCACAAGGTCACCAAATACGTCATGTAATTCTTTTGTCCATATTTGTGGTCCTATAACAAACAAATGTTATAATTATAATAAAACTAAAACTAAAATGTTTCTTCCATTTCCTCTAAAAATCAAAAATAACATACCAGCAATTGCAGATACACACATAGCAATACAAGCAGCCACAATCCCTTCAGTTGGACCATTGAAGTAACCTAAATACAAAGTACCAGTATGGTATTCTTCCCATGTAGACATGTAGAATGGAATTAATAGTGAAAGTAGAAGAATTGCAGCATATACGGAATGCCCAGCACTAAATGATGCTGTTAGGACTATACATTCTAAAGAACAATTTAATGCATCGCATCCATGATCAAACAATTCTCCAAGTGGTGATGAAGTCCCTGTTCTTCTAGCTTGTTTACCATCCACATTATCAAAAGTTGAATAAAGCCAAAGTCCAAGTGGAAAGCTGGAATTTTATTGGAATTAATGATTGAATTAGTGATGGAATTAGTGATGATATTTATGTATAATTGTGAATAATAAACAATTTATCAACAAAAATCAATGCTCCATCAGAAATAAGAAAATAACGCGGGAAGTGAAAGGTGAATATGTTACCAAATTGATGATAATAAAACATTTTCGATAATTATTAAATTATTAACAAATTTAACAAATTAAATAATTGATTATTCTTATTACCTCCAATATAACCAAGCAGGACCAGGACCAACAAGATCAGGAATCCAAAAAATAACACTTAACACGTTCATGAAAACAAATCCTAGCCCACAAAGTGTAATTAAATTTGGTCTAATAAAACGGAGAAAATTTATCATAAATCCATAAACTTATAAACCAGCATATAAATAAATATATGATGAACTCACGCCATCCATAATGGAAATAATTTAATTGCCCAGTTCCAATATGGTTTTAAAATATAGTTTGATACTGGTGATTTGTCAATTGACGAATATTTATAATACTTTAAGTTATTAAGTCCAGCCTCACTAACATAATCTGGCTCTTTTAAAAATGCCATACGTTATATACTAATAATAATATTAAATGATTTTGCGTAGAATTTAAATATTGTTTCGTAAAATAACTAATAAATATTTCTTAAATAATCTAACCAACTTACTTATTTACTATTTTAATCACACGTTCACGTGCAAGAAATGTAAACGGTTCATCATGTGCCGATCAAAATTAATATGTGAATTACGCGTAAGAATAATTTGTCAATATCTTTTATTCCAAGATGACCTTTTATATGAAGATCTAAATCAGTTCTTCTAACAAACCCTTTGGTACAGCCTGGATATTTGCACTTAAAATTTCTTATTCCAAGATGAGCAGATCTTGTGCTTGTAAATGACTCGTTTGACTAAATCTTTTTGATGCATCACGTTTGAAAATTTTGCACAACCTGAATTTACACTAGGAATTTTATGTTTTAGTATATTCAAGATGTTCACACTTGAAATTTTTTATTCCAAAATGAACAGATTTTGTCGTGATATTAATATATGGCAGGTTCTAGAATCCGATTTTAACAGAAATACTATTATCAAAAAATTTCACGCATTTATTCATATATCACTCATTGGCTGATAAACAATGCAGAGAAATTTAGCGCTAAGCCAATTT